TAACTCTAAAAAGAAGTTTGATTATAGAGGGGTTATACTCTTATAATTTCAGAATTCAACAGAATGCTGTTTACTTATATATTTCTGATGACAAATTAAACTGTATTAAAATAATATTGCTTAAATTAAGGAAATACTTAATGCTACAGCTTTTTCAAAAGAATAAAAAGCAACTGAACAGGGGAAAGTTTTTTCTTTCGTGTCAGGAGCGACTTGAGAAACTGCAAGTTGTTTCTGGTGTGAGAGAATTGGTCGTCTGCAAAGACGTTGCCCAGGGGATGCCCAGATACCATCCTGTGGGAGGCTTTTCTCATGTTCCCGCATGAGAAGCTGGAACTGACATATGGGAGCTCACCCCACTCCGAAGATTCAAACCGCCGACTTTTTGGTCAGCAGTCTTGCCGACACAAGGGTTTAGCCCATTGCGCCACTGAGGACTCCACTCCACAGAGGAAATGATTTGAAAGTATTTGAAGTTTATTCTTCAAGCTGATTAGTTAATAGAAACACTTACCAGTAAGCAATCTCTTTGCAAACAAATACCTTTTCTTTACTAACTTAAAAACATATAGAAAATGTTTATTTCTTTTTTAAAATACACAAGAATGTTAACTTTAGAAAATCATATTTTATGCATATATGCATGCAATTTTGTTTTAACCTAAGCAATTCAAACTATCACATTTGTGTGATATGTTTAATACCAATGGCTAAAACTGGACAGAAGTAACATAGCATGCAATTTTATATAAATGAATAAAATATTTATTCTAGAGATATTTGAAAGATAGCTGCAAAGAAATAAAATAATCTACTTTCAGGTAAAGATATTTTATAATAAAATATAAATACACTGCAAAAAAGTAGCTGCTGACTATTCTGCAGACTGATAGCCATTCATTCAAGTATTTATCACTTGGTAGATCTGATGTCTTTTGTTATGCTTTCTCTATCTTCATGGCCGGAGTAGAAAGCAGAAAGTCACATTAATCTGAGCAACCAGCAAAAGCAGCCAGTGTCAATAACAAGCAATCAGTGATGCACATCCCCAACTTTCTATCTTCTTTTTGAAGATAACTCCAGGAGCTTGTGCGCCTATCTACTTTGAGATTCCTATTCCAGCGTTAAACATATTGGTCAAATCATCAAGGATTCATGCTCCACATGAATGACATAACAGAGTACTCTAATATGGTATATGGCATTATTCTTTGTTGAGTTATATCAGTGGTTCCCAACCTGTGGTCCATGGACCACCAGTGGTCCACAAGAACTAAAATATGGACCGTGGCCTCACCATTAATACACTGTTGCAACAAAAGTGACTGGTCTCGCGAAATCCTCTTATAGTGCTGAGGCTTATTAAATATGGTTTTCTGTGGCTGAGAACATGACGACTACTGGATGGCATATGTTCTGTATCAGAAACTAGAGCTGATGTAGATCCAATGCAATTTTCTGAATCAGTACCCTAAATAACCAAACCGAATCTTAAGTTGACAAAAAACTGATTTGTAACCCTTTTGGTACTAATGCTAGAGAGTGGTCCCTGGTCAAAGTGGTTCCTGGTTAAAAAAAAAAAAAGGTTGGGAACCACTGAGTTCTATCGAATGACGTATCTCATCCTTCACCGTTGACTATTGGACTAGTGTTAGTTGGATTTCACAGAATCATAGACTTGGAAGATACCAAAAGGGTCATCTAGCCTAACTTCATTCTGTCATACAGGAATACACCATCAAAGCATCATTGCGTCACCTAAGTTTTGGATTGAACCTCTCCATAGGAGGAGACTCTAACATAATCTGAGGTTGTGTATCCCACTATTGAACAGATTTTCTTGTTAAGAAGTGGGAATCTAACAATACCAAGAGGGTCAAAAGTTGCCCATTTCTTATTATATGTCACCATCCCTTAAAAACAAATTTCAGTTGTCTATATGGCATGTGGCAAATCCACTGTCAGCTTTCTTTTCCACAGTGCCAAGGGAGGAATGATTTGGACTAAGCCTATGAAACAGAGATAAAGGTTTAAATCAGTGGTTCTCAACCTGTGGGTACCCAGATGTTTTGGCCTACAACTCCCAGAAATGCTAACAGCTGGTAAACTGGCTGGGATTTCTGGGAGTTGTAGGCCAAAATACCTGGGGACCCACAGGTTGAGAACCACTGGTTAAGATCCTCTTCTTTCCATGGTTGGATCTCTAGATCTAAACTGGGTGCTTCCCTTCCCTGTAGCTGTTTTTTCAAAAATACGTTTAAGAAGCAGAAACCATAGAATAGATATTACACTTGTGAATAAATGCAGCCAAGCGAATGTAGCGTAGGCATCACTTATATTTTTTAGAATTAAACATCTGTCTTATATCAAAATACCTGTACCTAATAATGATCATACACTTTACAACGACCCTGTAATCTTATGCGTGACAATGGTATCTAAATAATAAAAACACAGCATAAGCAAGGATGGATTTCATAAACGATCCACCATAGAAAGATATAATTAAGTTTATTTTTATTTTATTTTGTAAAGTTTGGCATAGCTTCAAAGTTATGGCTTCATTTCTTTAAAATCTTAGGGTTTAGGTTTGAACTTTCTCAGTTCACTATCCACCTTGAAAGGCTTCACAGCCTCAGGAATGTGGAACGTTTGGCATATTTTCTCCCCTTCACTTGTAAATATCTGCCCCTCAGCAGCAGTGTAAGTTATGGGGAGCTCTACATTGGATATAGGCTTCTAGATTCCCATTCATCTATAAATAACACATGCCAGGCCAAAAAACAAGCACAAAAAACCCCCAACACCTAACTCATACCCAAATTTGCAAGTTGAGTTTTTAAAATCATGATAGAAACAGAGCTATATAGACTTGGGTTAATAAATATGCGGAAGCAATACAGACATGGAATCACTTCATTTTTTATTCCCTTCTTCATCAACTCTCCTCTTTAAAGACTTCCAAAAATTTACTATGCACATATACACAATCGTTTCAAGACAGCAGACATAGCAAAGCTGGTATGCAACCAACATTAACTCCACTCAGATGTGTTTACATGACAAGCCGCAAAAGAATTTATTAGCAGTAGTTATAGCTATTTTGTCAAATGGGTGAATGTTTCCCCTGACCACATAGGCTCACTTACCCCTAATGGGAAGAGAACAGCACCAAAACATCCACTATGAGCAGAACTAGCTCTTGGGTTGGCAAAGTAACTGCTGCTACCATTGTCAACAGAAGCAAAAAGTAAGAGAACACCTCCTCACCCACCATAAAACAATGCATTCTGTCCAACTGCCTTAACCCTAGAGCTTTACTGCTTGGTTGGAACTAAGAAAAATGAACTTTTGCATTGCCATGTCACAATGAACCATCGCAGAGATTCAGATCCTCCGAGGAGGCCCTGCTTTCCGTCCTGCCATTGTCACAGGCACGATAGGTGGGACGAGAGACAGGGCCTTCTCGGTGATTGCTCCCCAGCTATGGAACTCCCTTCCTGGTGAGATCACGTCGGCCCCCTCTCTACTGTCCTTTAGAAGGATAGTAAAAACTTGGCTGTGGGACCAAGCTTTTGGGACAGGGCAATAAAGCAGCAATAGGAAAGATTACCAGGCCCATTAGATTTGATGTGGATGACTAGGACGTATATAAGAATTTGTGTCCTGGCATTGAATGTTTGCCGTGTATATGCTGTGCTCTGCCCTGAGTCCCCTTTAGGGTGAGGGGGGGGAATATAAATGTTTTAAATAAATAAATGACTTTCTATTGTTTACTAAAGTTATATTCTCTTTTCTCACCAAGATGAGATATGCTGTCGTCATTGTTGCTGCTGCTGTTAAGGACATTATTTAACTTTTTTTTCTTCTGACTGGTCTTGGCACAGTTTTCCTTGCAATGGCAGGGTGGGAATAGGTGTGTGAAATGCCAGGTCTTTCTAAAAATAAAACTTCTTCATTCTGTCCAGCAGCTTGGCTCAACTGCGCAGGACAAAGCTTAGGCGACATCATAGCGCCATGGTTAGTAGCAAGAGGAGATGATCAAGTCTCTGACAAAAGTGATACCTGTGGTACCAGAACAGGTCAGTACAGCATTTCTCTGAGACAGATGGAATATGCAGAAAGAGAAGAGGCACAGGATATTACTTTTTAAATAGTATAGTTAGATCTGAAGGAGTAGAAGCAGGTCTTCCAAAGGAAGACTGATGAGAGATCTACAGCCTGTTCGTATCAATGGGGTCTTGGATAATTTTAAAATTAGGAAGTAAATCGCTTTCCCCCCTCAAAGAAACAATAGCAGCACTTGTAATTCTTGCTACAAGAACCTTGTTTCTTTTAACAGGATTTTTGGATATAGTTGTCCCTTCACATCCACGTATTTTGTATCTACCAATTCAATAACTACAACTAATATTCCAAAATGAAATTTCCCATAAACAAATCAAAAACAAACAAATTTTTGTTGTTTTAACTAAGGAACACCAATTTATTATATCATTTATAATGGGACTTTAATAGTCGGAGCCCCCGGTGGTGCCACAGGTTAAACCACTGAGCTGCTGAACTTGTTGAACGAAAGGTCGGCGATTCGAATCCAGGGAGCAGGGTGAGCTCCTGCTGTTAGCCCCAGGTTCTGCCAACCCAGCAGTTCGAAAACCTGCAAATGTGAATAGATCAATAGGTACCGCTCTGGCGGGAAGGTAACAGTGCTCCATGTAGTCACGCGGCCACATGACCCAAGAGGCGTCTACATAAGCTCTTTGGCTTAGAAATGGAGATGAGCACCACCCCTCAGAGTTGGACACAACTAGACTTAATATCAAGGGGAAACCTTTACCTTTAATAGTCACAGATTATGGTATACATAGGAGGTCCCAGTATAAAATTGAGCAGATGCCACTGGCCCACTAAGATTCCCCCTCCCCTTTTCTTTACTTTGAAATACATTATTTTTTTCATACACACAATTTAGTAAATAACATGTAGACAAAATATATTACCTTGTAGAGGCCAAAAAACCCCAGGTCCCGCAACACAGTAAGGGCACTAACACGGGGGCCAGTTGTAATCTCTCCAGCCACTTGCAAGCGGATCTTGACAATTTCTAATGGGTTTGTGAAAATTACTTGAGATCCTCCAGCCTGAGGAGAAAACACATACAATCACTGTAGTAAAGTATAGAGATGTGGAACCTTAAAAGCTGCATCCAGTTAACTCAGTTGTGTGGTACTGTTAAATATATTATCTAAAACGTATAACAAGCCCAAGATTCTTCAACGTCCAAAAAAAAAAAAAACCTACACAAGCAATGCCGAAGTACGTATCTATTTGGTTCTGTTGTTATGAGGATGGATAGAGGAGGTTGGAGAAAGCTGAACTCTTGGCACTTAAGCACCTTATCTATAATTGGTTAATGAGCTGCTAGTGACCAGGTCTTTTGATATTATGAACTGATGAACCATAGGATATTGCTACCGCAGCTTATCAACAGTTTTGATAAAGGAAAACATTTCATAAAGAAGACTATATTGCGAAGAAATGAAACAAAATAAACTATAAACAAACTATAAACATTTACAAATAACTAAACAGAACTGAAATCTAACAGCATCTGCAGTATTCTACTGAATAAATTGGTCTTGCTGAAGCTGTCTCTCTACCTCTACCTCCCACCTTGGCACCTGGACAAAAAGTGCTATGGAACATATGCATTTACAACAGCTAATTTCCTACACTTTCAAACAAGTTATTGAACTGAAAGTTTGTGTATCCTCAAATGGCATTTTACTCAGTCACTCCTAATCTAATTTGAGCATGACTTCTCTACACACAAGGCAGTACTATTTTATTCTGTTTTCTCCCCGAAGCACTGCAAGAAAACAAACAAGACGTGAGGAGCTCTAATGCAACTCATCTTACTTTTAAAGAAACCCACAAAAATACTTTGGGTAATGATCTGCCCGCTTACCTAAAGTAACTAGTCTTGAACAACTGCCAACACCCTTAAAACAACAACATTTTGGCAGGCTAAAGTACATTGCTAATAAAGCTAATCCTCTGTATGGTTACTAGGAAAGGCTTGGAAAGCTTGGGATACAAATCAGTAGTCTGAGTAGGAAAATAATATAGTATCAAGCACCACTCATTAATTCCCTTCTTTCTTTCCTTCAAAATAACCCAATTATTCGGGGCTTCAGGCAGAGGTCTGGTCTATCTTGTACTGGAACTGGGCACTAAATGCTGAGAACTAGTTGGGCCCTTAGAAGTGCCTCCTTGCAGATCTTGTGTAGTTCCTCTACAGAACCTGGGAATAAATCTCCTCTTCCTCCCAGAATCCTCCAGCAAGTAGAGGTAGTGGCCAAGCTGCAGCATCTCCTATATAAGATTTTGTGTGTGTGTCAGAAGTGACTTGAGAAACTGCAAGTCGCTTCTGGTGTGAGAGACTTGTCCATCTACAAAGACGTTGCCCAGGGGATGCTCGGATGTCTGATATTTTACCATCCTTGTGGGAGGCTTCTCTCATGTCCCCACATGGGGAGCTGGAGCTGACAGAGGGAGCTCAACCCACTCTCCCCGGATTTGAACTGCTAACCTATGGGTCAGCAATCCTGCCTTTAACCCATTGCAACACTGGGAGCTCCGATTCCTGCATAAGATGATAGGCAGCTTATGAAGGTAGAGAGAGGTTATCTGGATTCATAATATAGTCAAATATTTGTATACCTTGTAAGGACATCTGGAGTTTGCAACCTGTTTTACCTGCATTAATACTCCCAAGACTACTACTGGTTTTGTCAACAATGGGAGACAACTGTAGAGGAGAAGTTGTTATTTATATGATATATGATTTAGCTATTTATCACCATAACATCTGAAGTCTCAAACGTTTCCCTCTAGACACACAGAGGGACTCTGATGAAGACGAATCCTGTTAACCAAAGTAAAGATGACTGCTCCAACTGTAAAAACCCTTTGAAATCAGTGGTACTATTCAAAATTATTACGGGTCAAGTCATTTGTTTCTGATCTACAGCCAAATAGTAACTACGCGTCTACTCCAGGCTGTCTTTGTCCAGTCTTTTCCACAACTGGTATGCAGTAACCCATTTCCTTCTATTTACCATAATGAATTGCAACTGTGGGTATCATCCCTATACTGAAATAATTAAGGCAAGTTTTTTTCTCCCTAACATTATTCTTGAAACCTCATTTTTTAAAAAGAAGATTGTCTGCAGCATTAAATCTTTATCATTTTAAAATACATGTGCAACATGTGAAATGCATTTACCTCCTCTAAGCTTTTTCCAAACTGGTCTTAAGATCTCATAGCTTTTGCTATTCCTATTTACAGTCATTAATGACCACGTGTGGCCCTCAAAATCTACTCTTTAAGCCAGGGAGGACCCAACTGAACGGTTTCTGAAGCACTGTATATTGGGCTGCTGGGAAACAATGCCGAGAATCAAGCTGAAACAAGTAGCTGCAACACAACCCCGAGGGGTTTCTCCAGGACCTTATCTCAACACAACCAAAGATGAGGGGAATGTTGGAGTATTATATCCTAGCACCTTAATCTATGGCACCTAAAAAACCCTTCTGCTCCGGTAACATAGTTTAAAAGATAGATTTTTACAGGGCGAGATTGGAAGGAGCTTTCAATTGTGGAGCTCTCTCATTGTAGCTACCTCTGATAATGAAGGATGTTGACTAATATTTGCAGATTGAAATAAAGGAATCAATTAAAATATGCCATGGACCACGAGAAGATCCAACTAGTCCATACTTCAGGAAATAAAGCCCAACTGCTCACTGGAGGGATATTAGAGGCAAAGATGAAGTACTTTGGCCACATAATAAGAAGACAGGAAAGCTGGGAGAAGACAATGATGCTGGGGAAAATGGAAGGAAAAGGGAAGAGGGGCCGACCAAGGGCAAGATGGATGGATGGTATCCTCAAAGTGACTGGCTTGACTCTGAAGGAGCTGGGGATGGTGACGGCCAACAGGGAGCTCTGGCGAGGGCTGGTCCATGAGGTCACAAAGAATCAGAAGCGACTGAACGAATATACAACAAATAGTGAGACTACACTGAGGGCCATTTCTGAACCATGGTCCCTTTAGAACAGCATTTTAAATAAGCCCAGAAATGTTACTAATTCAAAAACATTTTTATTAGCCTGCTCAAAGACCACTTTACAAGCTGGCTGCAGAAAAAGGGGAAATCTTCTGCAGCCAGAGAGGAAATTCAAGCTACACATACACACCTACCTTCTATTAAGCAGACTTGATAGAGGGGTAATGAAGCAGTTGCTCTCTCTCTAGTCAGCCTGCTGTGTTTCTGTGATGCTCACCGAGAAGGTTTTTCTCTCTAGCTCCTACATGACTATGACAGAAACCAGTGTGTGTGCCACCCTTTAACCGTAAGATGTGTTCACTTGCCTGGATGGAACTTCATGCCCTCATCACCTTTAAATCCCTGGCTGCTTATCACAACTAGACAACTGGTAAAATAAATGTTACTTTAAAGGGAAGATGCTGGGGATTTGTGACTCTGTAGAGCAGTGCTTCCAAACCTGTGGTTCATGGACCACCAGTGGCCCGCAAGAATGAAAATATGGTCAGCGGCCTCACCATTTCTACACCGTTGCCTCAAAACCACGTGGCAACAAGTGCGACTGTCCTCACAAAACCCTCTTATAGTGCCGAGGCAACTGGGATGTTTATTTATTTATTTATTTACTTTATTTGTATACCGCACTATCTCAGCCCGTAGGCGACTCAGTGCGGTTTACAACAGGTCAATATACAAAGTGCATAGCATTAGCATTAACGTTTAAACAGTCACTAAAGCAGTTAAAACAATACAACAATACATCAGTAAATCAACACAACATCAATACATCTAAATAACTAAGCCATCACGTCTCATCAGTAAAGTCATAATCCGATCTCCTCGTCCATTATTCCAGTTCCAAACTCAGTCAATTGATTGCACTGCTTAATTGAACGCCTGTTCAAAGAGCCAGGTCTTCACTCTTCTCCTGAACACCAGCAGGGAGGGAGCCGATCTAACGTCTGCGGGAAGGGCGTTCCACAGCCGAGGGGCCACCACTGAGAAGGCCCTGTCTCTCGTCCCCGCCAGCCGTGCTTGTGAGGCTGGCGGGATCGAGAGCAGGGCCTCCCCGGACGATCTTAATGTCCTAACTGGTTCATAAGGGGTGATGCGTTCGGACAGATAGGTCGGGCCAGAACCGTTTAGGGCTTTAAAGGCTAAAGCCAGCACTTTGAATTGTGCCCGGTAGCAAATTGGCAGCCAGTGGAGCTGGCGCAGCAGAGGAGTGGTGTGCTCCCTGAGTGCCGCTCCTGTTAACAACCTGGCTGCCGATCGTTGGACCATTTGTAGCTTCCGAGCCGTCTTCAAAGGCAACCCCACGTAGAGAGCGTTGCAGTAATCTATACATTGGGATGTTGGGAGAGAAGAGGCTGACTACCCAGGAAAGATTACTACTAGCACATCAGATCTAGATTATTAAATATGGTTTTCCGTGGGCGAGTAGATGTAGACTACTGGATGGCATATGTTCTGTACCAGAAACCTGATGCGGTCTATCCAATGAACTTTTCTGAATCAGCACCCCAAATAACCGAACCAAATTTAAAGTTGACCAAAAACTGATTCATAACCCTTTTGCTATTAATGTTGGAGAGTGGTCCCTGGTCAAAGTGGTCCCTGGTCAAAAGAAGGTTGGGAACCACTGCTGTGAAGTTTAGTGGCCTTTATACCCTACAGCAGCAATTCCTAATCTGTGGAACATGGATCTCTGTCAGCCACATAACAACATCATCATCAACAACAACAAACAACAACAGCAAAATTATTCTTATATCCCGCCACCATCTCCCCAAAGGAACTTGAGGTGGCTTAAATGGGGACCAAGCCCAGCATAAACAAGAGTTACAAAGTAACACACTTAAAACATGTAATACATAACAGTAAGAATTAAAACACTAAAACCAGAACAATAAAAAGATCTTTAAAGCCTTAACCAACATCCTGTGGCCTGTGATTTCTAGTCGTGAGATGAGCGTTTGAATTCTCATCCAGAAAATCTACTGTCTCACATGTCCTAATATTTTACTGA